ATACGCTGCCTACAAGAGATTCGCTTCAACTTTAAGGGCACATGTAGACTGAAAGTGAAGGGATGGAAAAAGTTATTCCACACAAATGGAAATCAAAAGAAAGTAGGTATAGCTCTACTTATATCACATAAAATAGACTTTAAGCCAAAGACTATAACGAGAGACAAAGAAGGTCATTATATAATGACAAAAGGATGAGTTCATCAAGAGGATATAACATTTATAAATATTTATTCATTCAACATAGAAACACCTAAGTATATAAAATAGATATTAACAGATCAGAAGGGAGAAATAGACAGCAATACAAAAATAGTAGGGGACTTCAATATTCCACTTTGAACAATGGATAGATCACCCAGATAGAAAATCAATATGCAAGCATTGCACTTAAATGACACACTAGATCAGGTGGACTTAACATTTACATAACATTCCATTCAACAGCATCAGAACACTTACCCTTCTCAAGTACACATGGAACATTCTCCAGGATAGATCTTATAGTAGGCCACAAAATAAGCCTTAATAAACTTGAGAAAATTGAAATCCTATCAAGGATCTTTTTCAACCACAATGATATGAAACTAGAAATCAATTGCAAGAAAACTGGAAAATTTACAAATATACAGAGATTAAACAACATACTCCTGAAAAATCAAAGAGAAATCAGAATATATCCAGGAACAAAGGAAAATGGAAATATGATATACCAAGACTTAAGGGATGCAGCAAAAGCAGTTCTAAGAGAGAAGTTTATAGCAATAAACTATGTTAAGAAAAAAAGAAAGCTCTCAAATAGACAATCTAACCTTATATCTCAAGGAACCCGAAAAGACAAAATGAAAAAAGCTCAAAGTTAGTAGAAGGAAGGAAATAACAAAGATCAGAGCAGATACTATTATTAAAAGTACAACTCAGTGGCATTAAACACATTCATATTCTTATGCAACCATTACCATTATCCATCTCCAGAACATTTTCATCATCCTAAACTAAAACCCTGTACCCATTAAATAATAATTCCCCATACTCCCTTTCTCCAAGCCTCTAGTAACAGCTGTTAATTTTTATACAAGTATCTTTAATCAGGATTCTTAAATAAATTCTTTCATTGGTTAATTATATTTTATTTTAGATTTCACTGATACTCATGAAGTAGATATTATTGTTAAATATTTATCACCTAATGAAGTTCCTTTTTTGTGAATTTTCTGCTCATATTTGTTCATTTTACTTCTGGGGCATAGTGTGATGTTTTAGCAGGGGTACTATAGTGTGCTTTTTCCCAGGGGATAAAAAGAATTTAGTTCAATAAGTTTTAGATTGCTTCCCATATGGCAGCAGAAAAAACCTAGGAAGAAAAGGAGTAAAATCCTTCTCTCTTTTAAAAATACTATTAGTTAGCTCTCACTAATAATCATAATTAATTTTTTTATTAAAAAAGGAAACAAAGTCTTCTTTCCACAATCCCCAACCACCAGTCCCATTACTCTGAGGTAATTACTTTTAATAACTTCTTGTGTATCCTTCTAGAAATTTTATATGTATATACTAGCTTTGTTGCAGAGTAGGGCTCCCAGGAAGTGGGCTGTAAGGTGGAGGTTAACATACAGGAAGTTTATTAGTGTGTCCTCAGGATCAACAGGTATAGGGGAGTGAAGGAAGCAGAATTGGGCAGAGGGAGAAATTAGGTTCTGATACAGTTTCAACAAATGCTTTAGCTAATTCTATGGGAAGCTCTGAGCTGGGATGTCCTGAGTTGGGATGAGGTGGCCAGGACTTTATACTCCTCATTGACCAGTCATTAGATGCAAGCTGTCCTAAGAAGTGACCTTGGGCACTCTCGTCAGCTGAGAAAGCTTCTGAGAGAAGACTCCCAACAGCTGAGGGGGATGGTGCAAGTGAACTGCAGTGTCCTTTACAGTCCATTTTTTGTACCTCTTGACATCACTTATTGTGTAAGTGCTGGATGCAGGTCTTCCAGGTTCTGGTGGGCTTCTTGTAAGGAGAGGGAAGTGGGAAGAACTACAACCTCCACCACCGAAGCTGATCTGAGGTCCCAATTATACTCAGTCTCCAGCTTCTCTTGTTCAAACATAGATTCCTCTCATCCTCAGTTTGTGCCTCTGCTATTTCTTAATCTAGAGGAAAAGTATTATTATACTTTGAAGGGCAGAAGTGTGGGTGGGCACTGTGGAAGTAGAGACAGTGAGTGTAGTCTACACTTTCCAGATATTTATGGGCCAAGAAGGGAGAAAAATAATTTGGTAGGGTAGGGTGGTAGGGTAAAGAGACTTCTTTATTAAAGCTAGGAGGATCTTGAGTATGCTTGTATAAGAGGTGGTGGGGGGTCAGAACTAGAAAATAATGGAAAAAATAAAGATCGTTTATGGAGAGACATTCTGAGGAAAGTGAGAAGGGATAGGGTCCTGTATACAGTACGGGATGCAGTGTGCTCTTGGAGAAATTAACCTATGGTAAAGAGGAGGTTAGAATTAGCAAGGTTATAATTTAGGGCTGAAGGGAGATAAGGTGAGACTGCACCTGGTGGCCACTAATTTTTATATCATGTATGAATCTGTTATTAGCCAAATGAAGAGGCAAAAGGAGAAGCAGGGCTAAGAAATTTTGACTTAATCAGGAACTTTGGAAGGTCTTATGGTTGGGGGTGGAATTTTAAGAAGAAAGATCTGGCATCCTATGAAAGATGAGCTTGAGTAGGGTGGGAGTAGAGACAGAATATTTGGGGAAATCCAGAACTATAGTAGAAATGATGCAAGAGATGCAAATAGGCATAACAAATTGAATTAATTGCCATTGGGACAAAAACACTCTCTGGGGAATTATAACTCAATAATAAACTATCCAGATCTGTGGAAGATTAAAAAGTAGACTGCAATACCACACTCCCTATCCTTGGATTAAAATCTGGAGATAGAACTTCAGAAATGCAAAGAGACAGTCATTAGCTGCTTAATGGCAGGAATACATTCTGAGAAATGCATGATTAGGTGATTTCATCTTTTTGCGAACATCATAGTGTGCACTTACACAAACCTAGAAGGAATAGCCTATTATACGCCTAGGCCATATGGTATAGCCTATAGCTTCTAGGTTAGCATGTTACTGCCCAAAAAAACTTGAGATTAAATCAAACACAAGAGAAAATGATGCAATTAAGAGACAATAGTCATAAGATGTATGAGGCTACTGCCAGTGTAATAGGGGATACTGTTTTATAGAAAACTTTTTTTATATAAATAGAAAGCGTACACTCCAAAATAATGATAAAAAGTATAATACATAAACCAGTAAGTTATTTATTATCGAGTATCATGTACTATACATAATTGTATGTGCTATACTTTTCTAAGACTGGCCGTGCAGTGGGTTTGTTTATACCAGCACCAACATAAATGCACAAGTAATTCATTGTGCTACAACATTACGATGGCTGCCATGTCACTAGGTGATAGGAATTTTTCAGCTCCACTATAATCTTTTGGGATCACTGTCATATACGCAGTCAGGTGATGACCGAAATGTTGTTATACAGTGTATGACTATAAAGACAATGTGAGTATCTGGCCTAGTAGGGTCTGAAAACAAGTTGAGGTAGACTGCCCAGGCAACAGGGCTGGATGGCAAGATCCAGTAGACAGCTGGGGATGGAGGGGGCTTCTTGAACTGACTATAGACCTAGGCTTTAGAGGGAGATGATAAATACGTTAGTGTCATGGATAGTGCTATGTGTTATTAAAGGAATTTGTGAAAATATATCCACATTAATGGCTGTTTGATTGATGACTTAGAACTATAAAGAAGTGTCTCGATGGCCTCTTAAACTTCCTGTTGAGACTTTTTTTGGTGTAACGGACCTTTCGAAAAATTGAGGAAAAGTTATGAATCCTCTTCTCAGAAAATGCACAATTAACACCCACAAAATATTGTCCACAATTTTAGGGGGCCCATGAACTGCTAACACCCATCCATGGACTCCATATTAAGTACTGCTCTCACCTGTTTTTCCTTCCAAGAGGCAGCTCAACTCTCAGTCCTATTTTAGAATACAGTAACTTTAGTGGACTGGAAGCTGCATCTTGAAACAGGTGGATTTGGGACTTCAGTAGGCGTTATTACACATTTTTACTTTGCAAAGTATGAAGACATGGATAACGCGACAGAAGACGCCACATTCTGGATCTTTCAGGAGGCTGCTATGGACACTACAAATGATGGTTTCTGACCACACAGCTGAATCAGCAAATACTGAGCACCTGTTACGTACAGGCACTGTTCCAGGACTGAGCTCAACAGGATAAAAAAGAAACCACTTGTATCCCTGATGAGACGATTCACGTGTAAAAGCATAAATGTAGTTATTAGTGGCCTTAAAAATACGTCACCTAGGTTTGAGAGGCATTCTGGGGAGGTGAAAAGGCGTCTGAGTTGGCAATTTGATTTTTGGTTTCTCTACATCCGAGACTCATGAGTTTGGTAAATCACTCAACTTTAAGTTGCCTCATCCATTAAGCAGAAGAGAATTGCTGCAAATCTTCAAGAAGATAATCTTTGTAAAAATGAACATGGACAAATGAAAAAAACACTAGCACAAGGTTTACTGAAATTGATAGTTGCGAGAGTCGCTCCCCTTGGGGGAAGAGCCTGTCTATTCCAAGTCTCTACAGCCAGGGCGGCGCTTCGCACGCGGTCAGAATCCGTTCAAAACCCTTTCCGGGATGGATCATGTTCCGCTTCCGCAGGCAGATTTTCAGGGTAGGCGTGGCGCCGGGCGCCCCACGCAGGCTAGCGTCAAACCACCCTCACGCGCATGCTCCCGAGGAGAGGAGGAGAACGGAA